ATTTTATCATGGTATCAAAGAAGGTTTTAGCCCACCTCGTTTGTCAAGGTGCCCGTCTAGACGTTCATTCCTAGCGGCCTGTTAGTCTTTAGCCCAGCTGTCTGTATGGAGTATGTACCTAACGGCCTGTGGCCCGTTTAACACGATTGCTCGTCTAGAAGTCCATACCTAGCGGCTCGTTGTCCTTTAGGTGTTGGCGCTCAAAAAAATTCAAGGGAATGCGAGTTTATTTGCAAGTGGTCAACCGGTTATATTCAAAATGACCCAATTGTCCACTTGAGGGGGAAAGTTAGAATGTCATCTCACATCGGAAGTTCAAGAGCAAAATAATCGGTATATAAGCTCTTGAGTTGAACTAACTAATCGATTGGATTCAATCTTTTAATGTGGTTCAACTCAAGCGTCTTATTTCCCAATTCAGTTGTTCATACCCCATCCTAAATTTTATCATATACGCTAAAATATTCGCCCTCCATCCCAATTTAAATTTCTTATTTCGAGTTACGATGTTTGACTGGAGTTATTTTTAATACACTTTATTTGAGAATTCGGGAAAAATTTAAAAACTAAATTTATATAAAGCAAGAGGTGACAATGTGACGTAACTTTTATCTTATCAAATGAGTTACAAAATTATGGAATGAAAATAAATGAAACTTGACCTTTTGAATAATAAACAGACAACTTAATTTAGGATGAAGGGAGTATATATTTTAGAAGATGCTCCAACTTTTCTCGAACTCCAACGGGAAAGCCATAATTTAGCACGGAAGCTAAATTTGATGCTCGAGCCTCTATAAATAGAGGATACCATAGAATATATGACTATATTAGAAATAGTGTTTAGGACGTAAACTATTTTTGGCACGTAAATTTTTAGCTTAATTAAATATTTAACTGTAAGTATTATCTAGATTTTATTTTCTATTTATAAATGATTGAAAAAATAATAAAATACAATAAAACTGTATAATATAGAAATTGTGGTTGGAGTAGATCTTAAAAAGTAGATAGTTAAAACACTATTTAGAAGCTAAAATAACTTTTAGCTTCCTTTTTTTACATGTGGTTGGAGTTGCTCTAACGGATGAAAAGCACAATGAAAAAATAGCACCAAGCTTAAAAAGCACACGAGCAACAAGTGCAAAAATTACCACCAAGCCCAAAGCGCCTACCCAAATATTTTAATCTTAGCTCTCGAAACGTTTATATAGGACGTAAACTATTTTTTGGCACGTAAATTTTTAGCTTACTTAAATATTTAACGATAAATATTATCTAGATTTTATTTTGTATTTATAAAAGATTGAAAAAATAATAAAATACAATAAAACTGTATAATATAGAAATTATGGTTGGAGTAGATGTTAAAAAGTAGATAGTTAAAACACTATTTAGAAGCTAAAATAACTTTTAGCATCTTTTTTTACATGTGGTTGGAGTTGCTCTAACGGATGAAAAGCACAATGAAAAAATAGCACCAAGCTTAAAAAGCACACGAGCAACAAGTGCAAAAACTACTACCAAGCCCAAAACGGCTACCCAAATATTAAAATCTTAGCTCTCGAAACGTTTATATTTAAGGTCATATCCTCGTTAGGAGACAGAAGTCTTAAGTCTGTCTAATCATCTCATTCCAATTTTCTCAGGTCTACCCTTTCCAACAACTTCAATAACTCTGTAAGCCTCACACATGTTTGCACCCAGTACTCCACCACCTCACATTACTGCCCAAACCACCTCAGCCTAGTTTCCCGTAGCTTATCCTCCACCGGTACTACTCCTACCCGTCCTCGGATAACCTTATTTTGAATCCTATCTATCCTCGTCTATCAAATCACCGACCGCAACATTCGCACCTTTATAAAATGTAGTTGACAAACATGGATTTTGTTAACTACTCAAAACTCTGCACCTAGACCTGGCAAAACAGAACCGGAACCGATTACTCGAACCGAATTATCCGAAATCGAAACCGAAATGATCCAAAAAATGAATATCCGATCTATAACCGAAAACCCGAAATGATCCAAATCGAACTAAAACCGAACTAAATAATTCATATCCGATTTAAATCCGAAACGATTAGATCAGAACCCGATAATATCCGAACTGATTAAACCCGAAACTGATTAGACCTGAAACCGATGATACCCGAAACCGATTAGATCTAAAACCGATAATATCTGAACCCAATTAGAACTAAAATCGATAAATTCAGAACTGTGTTTGCCTTTCAATAAGCTTATTATATTTTTAAATTTTTACTTTTATTTTACTATTTGAATTAATTTAATTACATTACTTGCTCATTCCCTCATAAAATGGATTATCATCTTAAAAAAATACAAAATCTCATGCCTTAAATTTATTATATTTAGAAATTGAAGATAAGTTATACATATAAAATTTTGGATGAATAAAGTGAGCCAACTATTTTGTTATTAACAGAATTAAATGGAATAAAATATTTGAAAAAACAAGGTGAAGCATCAATGGAAAAAAATTAGGTCTAAGAATTGAAGGTGAATGAAAATTGAGAAATGGGTTGAATGGTAGCATATAAAAATTGTTAAGGTTAAATAAGGAAAGTGAGAAGGAATGGGTGAAATTTTGAGCATAAGAAAATTGATAAAAAATTAAGTCTTTGATTAGATATTATATGAAAAATACAATACTAATTTCAGTCTTAATATACAAAATCTAATTAAAAAATATTATTTTGAAGAAAAAACTCTCTCCATATAAGAAAGAATGCTACATAACGCAAAAAAAATCAAAAATTTTAAGTTTTTAAAATTTATTTTATTTAAAGATTGGTATAGAAACAAAAAATGTCTACATATCTAAGAAATACGTCAAAAATTTTACAATATAAGATGTTACATGAATAATAGTTTATTTTATCAAATAATAAATGATAACGCACAAACAAATACAATTTCCGTAATTTTTAAACAGTGAAGTGTGATATTCTTTTTGGAATAGAAGGATTATATGATGAATTGTATGGAATAACTAAATTTTATCCTAATTTGATCTAATTACTGTAAGTTTTATTGGTTTAGAAGTTAATTTGATTAGTTTCAAACCAACTCACTCAGTATTAGTCAATAACATTAGATATTAGTGTTAACATTTTAAAAAGAATCTCTAGCGGTAACATTTAGTGTTATCATTTTCAAATTTGATCTACACCATTACATTTAGGTGTAAAATTAATTATATTTGACTCTGTTAAATTTACTTTTACCTAATTTCAACCAAACACTCAAATACTTTATAAATTTTGTACTCAATTGAATAAAATTTACTTAATTTCACTCAATTTTTACCAAATTGTATTCAGTTGGCACGTAACACTTTGAATTTATCTTTTATCTTTTCATTTATAAACATAAATATATTAGTAGATGTTAAAAAATTTTGATATATCAATACTAAATTTTAAAACCAGTTTAATTATATTAAATGTATATCATAATTAAATATATATTTTTTCATAATTTGTAATCCAAATTTGTAAAATATGACTAAAAAGTCAAAAAGGGAAAATTATTTAGGGTAGAAATAATATAATTAGAAAAAAATATAAAATAATATGAGGTATTGAATTGATGATAAATTGTACATGTGATAAAACAGAAAAAGAAACATGAATAATTAAAATTAGAAAGTAATATATATCCAAAATATATTTGATCCGAAATTGAAATATATACGAACCGAACTAGATCCGAAACCGAAATATATTCGATTCAAATTGTATCCGAACCAAAATCTATCCGAACCGATTTATAACCGAACCGTATCTAAACCGACTCGAAACCGAACCGAACCGAACCGAAAAATGTATAGAACCGAATTAAATCCGAACCGAAACTAAACTGATCCAAACCAAACCAAACCGATTATAACATATATCCGAAAGTCTGAACCGAAAAAATCAAACCCGAACTCGATCCGGTTGACCTGATTGCCACCTCTATCTACAAACCATACAACATAGCTTGTTTGCCAATAGGATTTACGTTACATCCTAGCCAAAATCTTCATATCACATAGAGCCATGAAGCCAACCTCCACTTTGCCCAAGTCGCTCTAATACAATGTGCAACATCCCTACCTAACTCTCCATCTTCCTAAATGATGGAACAAAGATACTAAAACTAGTCCACCTTGGGTACCGAGTGGGAACCAATCCTAATTCCTAACTTTCACCTCTGATACCATCACCGAACCACTAAAATAGCATTTCATGTATTCATTTTTAATCCTACTCAGTCTGAAACCTTTCAAAAGAAAGGCGGCATAGTTCCAATTTGTCATTTAGCCCCTCGCATTTATCGTCAAGGAGCACAATTTCATAAGCAAATGCATGTACCATGGGACCTCCCCTTGAACTCCCTATCACATGACGTCCCACCTTGAAAGATTCCATGGAAAGCCTACTTAGTTTAAAACCTTTGTATCATCGATGAGCACAATTGCATAAGCAAAAGCATGTACCAAAAGACCC